AGCATGAAAACACTGTTGAACACCGAAAAGACAAAGGTCACAACAAGCGTCAAAATGACGTACTGGAAAGAAAGAGAACAAACGAAGGCACTAGATGATGCTAACCAGCGAAGCCAGGCGGCGAGCAATACTGTTGGCAGAGCTGTCGATGATAACAGCAGCCCAGGCTTTTGCCCAGCGGAGCGGATAAGGCTCTGCAATCTTAGTCCAAGGCCTCGAACCAGAAAGCGCGAGGTGCCTTTTCTGTGTACGGCTGCAAAGCGGCCTGGGTCCCGTGCAACGCAACTGCGGGCGTAGAAGCAAATCCCATTGAAGGAGCAGCCCAAGCGCCATCTCGGCCTGACCGTGCGCTAACAAGGCACCCACGATGGCGGCGAAAGCCACGCGGGGAGTCGGGAGCCGCATCTTCGGAGGGGCCAGGTTGCGGTAGCCCGAGAGCCTGTATGGCTCGCGCCAAAGCCTTGGCGCCGTGCTTGCCGTAGCCGGCAACGAAAGGCGGCGAAAGTGTACTCCGCGGCGGACACGTCGGCTCCCTGAGCGTAAAGCTCGTTGAGGTAGGCAGTGAGGAGGCAGTCGTAGTCGGTCGACTGGTTGTAGTGGCTCCGGCACCAAAACAGGAAGGTCTCCACCACGGCGTTGTAGCGATCCTGGGTTGAGGTCCGGCGCACCTTGTTCACCTCCAAGTGCGAAGGGACGCCTGCCAGGGTGAGCTCGGTTGCATTGGCGCTGGCGGCTATCCTGCATGTCCTCTTCTTGGTTACTGGCGCGTGAGGCGCGGCCATGGGCCGCAAAGTCCTTGTCTCCCACGCCATCCACAATGGACGGATGGGCAACCAAGGACCGTCGTGCCTTCTTGCGCCATGATTCTCGTGAGGGGCGATCAGCACAATTCCTTTCGGAGGGGATCCAACGCACATGAAAAGTGCGAGGGCGCAAAGCTGTTGGCACGTGCGATTCGCCAAAGATGAAGATCCCCTTCCCTTAGGGCAGGCCAGAGCCAACGCGAGGTTATCAACCAGAAGTAGGTGCTGTTGGCCAGCGTGCCTTCGGCAACGAAGAAGATGCCGAATACCGCTAAGCATAGCCCGACCTTCCGTTCGGAGGATATTCTCGCGGTGTTGCCATTGAACACGACGTGCCATGGAGCTGGGTCTAGGACATCGGCGCCAACCTCCCTGAAGTCAGCATCACGGACACGAGCACAATCATAATGGAAATCGTCCTGGGAAGACTCAGCACTCTCACCAAGGGCATGGGCACGAGCCCTGATGGCACCTTCAACGGCATAGCACCATTGCTCACAAGCCCTGCCGATGTTCGCAACCTCACCACACTCCAACTGTCTCTCGCACACCCCGTAACCGACCTCGCTTGAATCAGTAGCCATCGCGGTTGGACTCCAAGGGAGATCAAGCGAAGTGCACATCAATGGGAGAAGAGATGAGGCCTGCAGGATTTCTTGTTGAGCGGCACGCCACAATGAGCCCGCTGGTTTCGAGGACCGCACGTACTTGTAGACCGCATTGAACAAGGACAAGCACTCCCTCCTGACCATCATGGTAAAGGTGAAGTGCCCAACAACTTTTTCAATAACCTTGGCTGGAGGCGGAGCTCGCCTGCGGGCCAAGGCAAGCACTGCCAAACGAAGCTTTCAAATCCTGGCGGGCGAAAGGGAGATGCGCTTGGAGGAGACGTCAATGATCAAACCAAGGCGGTGGACAACGGGCTGGGCGTCGGTCACCTCATGGATGTTGCAGCCCCGCTCCTCAAGCACCTGTCGCATGCGATCAAAGGCCGACTGCACAACATAGGAATCAGTGCCGCTGACGAAAAACTTGTCGACGTACTGGGCATGCACAGTGCGTCCACCAGTGACCCGGCCTGTCCATGTGCGGTCTTCGATACGGTCTGCGTCGCGAAGATGTGCCTGAGCAGCCGCCGATTCCAGTAGGCTTTGGCAAGAGTACAATGACCAGTTCCAACCCATGGGCAAAGTGGCATACTCAGGAGTTACGTAGTCGTTGGGACCACAACCTGGAGGCCACATGCTCTTATCTAGGAACCGGCACTGAAGAGCAGAAAGCCTGAAGAACTGGCGAAGGTGAAGAGGCAGCTCCATGCGGTGAAAGGCATCGGCGACATCTCCAGTAGCCGTGTATACAGTGTCACCCTCATCAACCTCAAGGCTGCACTAAGCTGCTGGTGTTGGGAGCCGGGAGGAACGGGGCTTCACGAAGTAGTGGTTAGCCCTCCGAGTGGCGAAGCTTGCCAGACTTTTTACGGACAAAAAACACACCAACAGTATGATCAAATTTTCCGGGGACAAATTGGAGCCTTCGGGATTTAAAAAGGCGGCCGAGAAATCTACCCATATGCACAGGCGAGTGCGCTAGCACTGGATCGATGTAAGGCCTCACGGGTTCACAAAGGCTCTGCGCTCCAGAATCGGCGAGAAGCTCAGGGGTGCCTGCCAGTTCCGTAATCTGTACAGGATGGCTCCCCGGCTCCGGCCATGAGACCAAGGCCTCGTCAAAGCTGGCAATGTTGCACTCGATGTTGTCCAACGAGTAGACAGACATCGAGCCGAGAAGCGCCCGGAGGGCTTCTTCGGAACGAGATTGGGGAGGAGGCCCCGCTTGCCTGTACTTCTCGGCTAGGCCCTCCAATGCCGAGGCCTGCGAACCCATGAGGGCAGAAAACCCAAGCATCGGCAGCCAACCTCCGGAGAATTCGTTGGCGCGTCCCTCGGCTGAGGTCCGCGCACTGTATGCCGCCTTCGGCGGCGGGCAACCGCAAAGGAAGAAGATCGCGCTGCCTATCCGCACCGGGCATGAAGGAAAACTCAAAACTGCGCTCGCGGAGCAAGCTGGGAGGGGCTGGGCAGTGAGGCCCTAAAAGCCTGGTACACTGTTCGACTGTGCGCGTTTTACCCAGACCCCCGATCTCGGAGCGAGAAGGGGCGTCTGGAACGAGCCCTGCTTGGCGGCAAATTGGAAGGAAGCGGCCGACCCTAGTGAACTGCACGAAGTGGCCCGAGTCGACAAAGCCACCCCGTGATCAAAAACGCCGCCGAAAGGCGGCTTTACTTTGCGTTGTTGGCCCGAAGGAGGGCTCGCTCCTCCCGGGCTTTTCGCTGCTCTTTGTTGGCCTGAGCCTCTTTGTGCAACTCATCGCCAAGCCAAGCATTAAGTGCCGGGCAGATGCAAAGGTTGCCACGGGTACGGTCCACGCCAAGGAAGAAGTGCGACTCGTCATCAACGGTGCCGCTGGAGACAGCGCCAAGCACTCTCTCCTTCCACCGATACTGGATCATCTGCAAGCGGCGGCACAACAACTCAACGGCGGCGAGCTCACCAATGTTCAGCTGGTCGTACTCGATCGCGAGCTCCAAAGCCTTGCAAATGGATTCATGTTCAACACCGCCGTCGGAGGGCTGAAGCTTGAAATTCACCTTCCATGTGTTGTGCATGCTCATCGGACTGCCACCGTTGGTCACAAAGTACTGTCCAACCCACTTAGCGGTTCGAGGCCCCTTGATCGGCCAATCACTCCAGACGCTCTCGCTGGCAAGTTCAACCCCATCTCGAAGTTCACGACGACGCTTGCCATCAGTGCCATACCTGACAGCCAACGTCCGGGCATCGTCTCCGGATCCAATCGCGATAGCGCCAGTGAGCGCAGCCCGCCCACCGGGGCAACATGATTTGCCAGCTCATGGTTGGGGATGTTCTCGACGAAGAGCACGGACCCATCGGTGAGCCCAACCACTGCCTTAGAGCCCGCCTGGTGACCAGCAGCAACCTGCGCCATTGGAACCAAGCTTCCCTTAGCGCGACCGCCTCCGCGACCGCGACTACCCAGACTGAGCCCGCAGTAGCAGTAAGAACTGGGCCGGTTGCCATGGCGTCGGCTGAAGCCGCAGCAGGAACAGCAGGAACAGCAGGAACCAACACACCGGCGCCTGTCGAGTCGATCTCCGCCTGAAGCGCGTCCAATTCAGCCTGAGCGAGTCCTCGAAGATGAGCAAGTTCGGCTGCAGACGGCGCCTGCCCAATAGCGCCGTCCTCGAATCGGTAAACGTTCCTTCGTCGCAATCCGGGGGGCAAAGCCCTTTCCTGACCCAAAACAGCAAAGGCCGCAACATTGGGAGGCGCGACCGGCTCTCCATAGACATCACCGTCCGGAGTGGCGGTGACGCACCACCCAACTGTTCTGGGATCGTTGCTCGGGCTCGGCCTCAGGACTATATAAGGCGTTCGTGCCACTTCCTCTCCCCCGGACCCTCCAAGGCGAAGGCGGGCAGCCATGGTAAACCCCAACCCCGCTCAGGACGCCACCCACAAACCAAATGAAACACCAGAAGCGGCTAGTCTGAGCTGTGGCGCACTCGCAAGTACAATGGCAGTGTTGCTCAGGGGCCGGCACAATCAGTTGTCGATCCGAACAGAGCCAGCTCTGAAGCAAAAGGCTGCCAGCCACGATAAGTCCGGCAGGGTTCAAAGGAGGGAGGACCATGGACGATGCTGCTACCTTTCTTGCCGAAAAGAACTTGAGAGGATTACAGCGGCACTCTTTGCAATCAATAGCCTGCACAGCAGAAACATGTGCTGCTTGCACGGTTTCATTGGGTTGCACTGCGGAGGATGTCGAAGAGTTCTGTGCAAGCAGGCACCAAACCAATCCGGCTTCCAACTCCGAAAGTGTGAAGCTAAACATGGACTGGACAGACTAGACTTGCACTGTTCAATCCTATCGCCTCCTCTATGAGGAGCCAGGCAGGAAGCCACATGATGAAGCCCAGAGACCCGGTCTGCAAGACTGCCACCTCCCCCCGGGGCATCCAAATGTCCTGCGCACTCTGACAACCTCCGTCAGCTTGGCCACAGCGTCCTCCAACTTCGCTTCGGTACTGTCCTGCGACTTGGAGGACAGCCCTTCATTCAATGGTGAGAGAAACTGCCAGGGAAGGCCTTCACTCAATGGTGAGAGAAACTACCAGGGAAGGGTGTCCTGCAGCAACTGCATCTGCTTCTCCACTCGTGCCATCCACTGCTGCATCACTTCGTGATGTTGGTGAAGGGCCTGTGTTGTGCAAAACTTCGGTAATAGAGCCTTCGGCTTGGGCTTTGCAAAGCGAGTCTAGGGCTGCAAAGACCCTTGTGGCGACAGTCGCTGGCGAAAGTCTGGACCCGGGATGTTGCACTGCGCTTTCGCCCTCAGAACGAAGCCCTCTTGGCGGAACCATTCTCCTCAAAAGCAGCTCATCCTCTAAGCCCCAGTGTCTACAATCTGAAGGCCTCCTGGAGGCTGCAGTCGCTGAAGGGAGACTCACTCATGCTCCTCCGAGACTTCTGATTTTGCTGAAGCTTTGGCACTGGTGGACTGTACAGATCGGGAGTGGGGAAGCCGTGCTTCTCGGGATGTTCATGGTTTGGGGACTCGTAGCGGCCACGCAGCGCTGAGATGCAGCCGCTTGTGCAAAATTTCTGCTTAAGATGATTCCTGCTCAGCTGAGCAAGGTGACCATGCCTGACTCGAGATTTCATAGCTGTTGCCAAAGCGCGAAGCGCTCAAGATATGAGGTCTTAGGGTTGGTGGGTGAACTCGATCAGCTAACCTCTTCCAGCAAAATTCACCTTCGGAGACCGAGACCTAGCATCCCGGAATGGAACAGACCCTGGAGCCCGTCTTCGTCAGGCTCGGGCTCGTCACACAGCCCGATTTCGAGCTTCGGAGGACACCTTGCGCCTGCAGCAGAGCGTGAGGAACGCGAAGGCATTAGGCTGGGTTTGTGCCTGACGATGCCTGACGCTAAGTGTTTAGTGACATCGATTTACCATCTTCTAGGCTTTGAAGACCCGTGCCATCAGGCAGGGCTCAGGAGACGGCGTGTCCAAAGCGCTGAGTCTGCGATTCCCCAATCTCGCACCCAAACTGAAGGCAGAAATCTATGCCTGAAAAGCATACGTCAAAATGAGCAGGTGGACTCTGGAGTTCAGAGCTGTGAAAATAAATTCACGTTGGGCGTGTCCCGTTCTCGCTGCGTACTTGACAACGATCGCCATTCAAAGAAATTGAGAATGCCTGAAGCAGTTTTCCGTCCATTTCCAAGGTAGTGGCAGAAGTTTGCAACGTCTCAGGTTCCTTCGAAGTTTCGTTCGTCGACGGAATAACTGCGTACCAACTTGACTTTGCATGGCCATCCGTAAACATCGCGGAGAGCAGTGAGTTCGCGGTGTAAGCGAGGGATCTCGGAAAGCCACCAACCCTTGGATGCGACGTTGATATCCAGTCTTAAGTCTTACATTCTCGCCGTTCTGAGCGGTTGAAGCTTTGAAGGAGATGTTTGAGCTGGAGAAAAACGGCAATCGGTCGGCGCCAGAAATCCGACCCTGGCAGCGGTTGACTCACCGTCGTCGACGTTACAAACCCTGGCAAGCCAAGCAGAGTATTGGATGAAGTAGGTTCTGAACATGGAGCTGGTACAGCAGCTCGCATGAGCAGATTCGCCATTGTAGTACTTTCGGCAAACAAGGATGTGCTTGGTACTGCCCCAATGCGATTGACGAAGTCGGGAGGCTTCAAGGATATTTGATGTGATGTACTTGTCGCTTCGAGAACAGCAGTGGGCCCCTTTCACTTCGGCTCTGCTAGAACCAAAGTTGGCGAAGACTGAAACATCGGTCCAGGCCTTTTGCTGCTGGTCCTCTCCATTGAAAACGTCGCCAAGCCTTCGAAAAGAGGGCCGAGAAAAGGACATGTTCGGGACATTAACAGAAGGGCAGTACAGAGACTTCTCAGCTTTCCCTGAGTGCCCGGCAGCGGTGGCTCCAGCGGCGGTTCCTTCGGCGGCGCTGGCGGTTGTGCCCCGGCCATGGGCCTCTGTCCAGCGCATCCAGCGCCACGAACACTGTTCGAGCAGGGCTGGTAGGGCCTACAGAAGAGCAGGGTCTTGAGCTCTTCAGAGCTAGACTCATCCCGGGGCCCCTGAATGGGCGTCTATGCCGTTGTGGTCAGAGGTGCACGTGACAAGTGAAAGTTCCGAGCGGTCCATGTGGTGTGGCGACTGCTGCAACACTGTCTCACGGATCCTGTTCAACCTTCGTCGTGGAAAACATCTTCGAGGACAGGGCGAGAATGCAGAGCGAGACTCCACGAATTTAGAGTGGGTCACATAATAAGGCACAGAAGAGAAGAAGCCGTGTGTTTGAATGAACTACACTTCACTGAAAGACAATGCGTGTAAGTCCCTTCTTGCATCTTCTTGCCTTTCGCTTGTTCCTCGTGTGGGAACAGTCCCGGGCCATATATGCTAACTCCCAGTGAAGAGCCCCTCAAGCCTTGCCAAAACGCGGAATCATGCCTACACGTGCAGCCGAAGTGCCGTGAAAATGGTCGCCAAGACAGTCCGTGTAACTGTTGGTACTTAATGCCCGGCGAGAATCATGGAGGCCACTGCTGTGGCTGGAGAATCCAAAAGGGCGGCGGCAGCAGAAGCTGGATTCATAATGCGAAGCATGAGACACACACACACATGCACAGAGGTGTACGTGTATGTGTGTATAGATATACATATACATACACATACACACATACATACATAATTACATACATACATACATACATACAAACATACATACATATACATACATACATATACATACATACACATACATACACATACATATACATACATATATATATATATATAGAGAGAGAGAGAGGGGGATAGATATAGATGTAAATACAAACATCAATCTAAGTACAAACATAGACATAGATCCAGATATAGACATAAACATAGATGTAGCTACACAGTATAGATACAGATATGGGTAAATACAAACAAAGATATACAGAACGAATATGTATGTATATATTTGTATACACACAGAAACATATATATGGAATATACACATATCATCATCTACATAAATACTTTAGTATGTCAATGTACCAACTTGTATACCTGTGTACATATGTCATTTACACCCACTCCACGTTCCCAGCACGCTCCTTGCCGCCACGTCCTCAGCTCAGAATTTGGCAGTCCGAGACAACCCGCAACTGCCCCTGGCCTCGAGATAGCGAACTTCATCGAGCCAGGAATTTACCTCCTTGAATCCATCCCCACTTGTGCAATCCGCGACTGCAAGGTGATCAAAATCTGGAGGCGCTCCAGCCAACTCGTGGAAGCCGTGGCAAAGGGTATGATTCGGGAAAGATCGGTGCGGGGGATCGATGCTTTTGGACATCGGAAAGATGACAGCTGGACCTGAGATACCTTTGCATTCGTTTGGCCTGGGCCCCCACCCTCACCGAAAACAGCATCTGCAGAAATGTCCCAGACGCCCAGCGCAAACAACTCCTGCAACCCCAAACATCGCATATCTGGCTCTGCAGGTCCTTGGCCGCTCTTTGTCGGCTATCGAGGCCTCATCATTGTGCTCAGAGTTGTGGGTGGGAGCTCTGTTCTAATCATCAAGGACCGCTGATGAAACGTTGCAGCTTAAGACTCCAAAGTCTCCAAAGTGCTTCTTTCGGAAAAAAGGCTTTGGGATTGGAGGTTAACACTGCCCCAACCGACACTCGTGAAGCCAAAGCCCAACACGCTGGCATGCAGACAAGCCTCAACATGCACACATGGAAGCGCCGGAGAACAGCGTCTAGAGTCTAGACTCTACAAGGCAAGGACGGTGTTCTGTAACTCTCAGCTCTTCCTTCCACGCTTTGACCCTTGAACGAGAGGTCTTAAAGGCAGGCCAAGCTGCACAACGACTCTGCCAAGCGCCGCTTGCGCTCCTTCTCACGCCTGAGGTATGGGTGAAGGTCGAATCAGGGGAACGGGATCGGAGACCGCAGACCAGGACGAACTGGACCCCACCGACCCGTCCGACAGCAGCTGACCCGACCCGACCTGTCACACCGACCCAACCGACTTGACGGACCCGACCGACGTCACCAACCGACGGAACCGACCCAACCGTGCCGACCATCTAACCCGAGCAACCCAAGCAGCCAGGCAACCCCATCAGTTGGCGAACCGACCCAACCCACTGGACCACTACATTCTGCCACAATGACACACCCTCGTGGCAGAACGCTGTCGGCACCGTCTTGAGGCGCAGTCACATCCCCACCTTCACACCTCGGACTCTGTAATGTCGTCGTCGTCGTCGTCGTCGTCGTCGCGTCGTCGTGGT